GATACTTTTAATTGGTGAGAATAAATATTGTTAAATCATCAAAATACTCGAAATATGCTATTCACGCTCATTAATACTAATAATACACACCTTATAGAACCGTTTAGCTATAGAAAAATGTTATATTAAGAATTCTGCAATTGCAATTAGGGAACATGATGGAAAATTGCTCTTAGCGTATTGCTTTTTCGCTCTCCACAACTTTTTGAAGTCGATACAAAAGTCGCTAGTATTACATTCGATACTTCTATCCTCCAAGACGTTGACATCAGTAACCTTCAGACTAGATAGGGAAAATTGAACAATGAATTAATTAATTTCTGCTAAAGCTATTAGAGAATATGATGGAAAATTGCTCTTAGCGTATTGGCTTCTTTGTTCTCCACAACTTTTTGAAGAAAGTCAGTCTTCTACTTCAAAGTTTTTACCACCAGTTACAAAAGTCGCTAGTATTACATTTGACACTTGTATCCTACATCAGTAACTGTCACGGGGTTAAGCGATACTAACAGTTTAGCACCAAAATATAACTAAATATGGGACTGTCGAACACTCGCTTGTATATTATCTTTATTTTATAACGACAAATATGATAACTATCAAATTAAGTATTATTCTCTTTCTTCAAGTTGTGCTTTCATGCGTGAGATTCTAAAACCAAACTATCTTACATTTCTTATTTATATTTACATGCTATACAATTACATCATGTTATTTTCATTACAATAATGACGCTATAGCTAAGTTTAATTTTACTTCAATATTGTTTTGCTTAGTTTAATTTGACTTTTGATCGTCACTCTTACCGTCAATCACGTGACAGTAACCTCAGACTAGATAGGGAAAATTGAACAATGAATTAATTAATTTCTGCCAAAGCAATTAGGGAATATGATGGAAAATTGCTCATAGCGTATTGGATTTTTCGCTCTCCACAACTTTTTGAAGAAAGTCAGCCTTCTACTTCAAAGTTTTTACCATGAAACGTCACAAAATCGTTACACAATTGATAAAAAATTTTTTTATATTATTTTACAATACTGGCACGCTTGACTTATCTTTTATATGAATATTGAAAATGGTTAAACAAACATGAAGCTCTCACTTTGCTTTACAACATATTTTTTGAATCCACTTGAATCCAACGGCTTCGTCTTTTTGTAAATTTCGCAACTTGATTGGTTGACTTATCCTGTAGTGATATTTGACTGGCCGATACAATGAGTGATCTGTGTAATGGAGAATGAAAATAATATCTATATTTGGACGTTTCCTCCTGTTGTTTTTACCACCAGCTACAAAAGTCGCTAGTATTACATTCGATACTTCTATCCTCCAAGACGTTGACATCAGTAAGTTCGCAAACTATTAATTGGTTTTATTTTTATTTTTATTTTATTTCTATTTTATATATTTAGGTACGTACATGTGGATTAGAGATTATTTCAATGCAGGTTATAACAAATATGCTAAGCACTGTTTTTAGGTCTTAAATAATAAGTATGTATAATTATGTGGATTAGATTAGATTGTGTTATACAGAATATTACTGAAAACACCAATGCCATATTTAGAACTTTAGATATACACGACACATCCTCATATAATTGTAAGTATTGTTTTAAATATAATTAATTATATGGGTCAGCTATAGTTATGTATTAATTTTTAAATAAATTTACAGGTACTTATGTTTTAAATTTTTTTTTTAATTTTGAATATGGTTTTGTAGGTTGAATGAAGTTGTGGAGCATTAGATCACAGCATTACTAATTACCTATTGCTCTGATGAATTAGGGTCTCGCAAGCGTTGATTTAAATAATAAATATTTAAGATATTATTATGAAGGAAAATATGGGTTTAATTTTTTTTTTTATCAGGCTCTTTTACTTTTGTGTTCATGCTTGAAATATCATATGTCACAAGCAGAGGTAGGTACCTACAAGTCGCTGAATTGGATGCGCATTTTCTCTCGTTTGGAATTAATCGTACTGCTGGAAATGTATATTTTGTAAAATATTGAAATACGTTATTAATACTTCTTTGATTAAGTTGCAACAGCTAGAGTTCTGTTGAGAAATAGCCATTACTTTCTGGGGATACAATAGGGAAGTGTTCTCTCGCAGTATACTCTATAATTAATTGAAAGTTTTATTAATAGTGTTACATATACTGCAAGGAATTCGTTGGATTAATTTTTCGTGTTAGCCAGGAAACAAACTAATATCTAAAAAAAATTTAGCATTTTGTTTACAATGACTAAATGTAACCTACATTTTATTTAGATTTCGACATAGCATCTTAAATGCGGCCAAGAATGCGAAATGAAGGTTGGAAAAATTTTATTGGTTTTCATCAGCCTTTGCTTTTTATTTCATGATGCGAAACATATTTGCCATTCATAACTAACTTTGTTAAATCAATTTATCAACTTTAATATGGCTAGGAAAATAGAGGTATAATTTGAATAAAAGAGGTTTGTATTGGTTTATACTTTAATCTCGTGATGTTTATTTAAGCTAGAAAAAAACTCAGATCTAACATAACAAGTCTTAATCCGTATTTTGCTCAGTGAATTTTGGCAAAATAATTATTATAAGGATCGTTTCAGTTATTTCAGTTTAATCGAAATCATTGAGCAAATCTGAAGGAGCTGCTTGAGATCAGTCACTCAATGGATCGTTGCCAAGGTTTTAATTAATTAAAAATCGAATGACCTAACCAGATGATTTATCAATTTATTTGTTAAAATACAAGATAGTTACTCTGATTGGCTAAAGTTTAAAATCAGCGTTTCAGATTTTGCACAATGAATTTTAAGCAAATTATTTTTCGATTAACTTCAAAAACCACCAAACAAATTGCAACGATTAATTTCAATCACTAGCAAATTTCATTGAGGGAGCTGCTTGAAAATACTTTTAGTGGTGAGAATAAATATTGTTAAATCATCAAAATACTCGAAATGTGCTATTCACACTCATTAATACTAACATTACATAATACCTTATAGAACCGTTTAGCTATGAAAAATTTTATATTAAAAATTCTGCAATTTCTGAAATTTTCTGCTAAAGCAATTAGGGAATATGATGGAAAATTGCTCTTAGCGTATTGGCTTTTTCGTTCTCCAAAACTCGCTACAAAAGTCACTAGTATTACATTCGACACTTCTATTCTCCAATATGTTGACTCAGACTAGATAGGGAAAATTGAACAATGAATTAATTAATTTCTGCTAAAGCAATTAGGGAATATGATGGAAAATTGCTCTTAGCGTAGTGGTTTCTTTGTTCTCCACAACTTTTTGAAGAAAGTCAGTCTTCTACTTCAAAGTTTTTACCACCAGTTACGAAAGTCGCTAGTATTACATTTGACACTTGTATCCGACATCAGTAACTGTCACGGGGTTAAGCGATACTAACAGTTTAGCACCGAAATCTAACTAAATATGGGACTGTCGAACACTCGCTTGTATATTATCTTTATTTTATAACGACAAATATGATAACTATCAAATTAAGTGTTATTCTCTTTCTTCAAGTTGTGCTTTCATGCGTGAGATTTAAACTATCTTACTTTTCTTATTTATATACCAATTCAATATCCATTTTTTTTATCTATTATTTTTGCTTTCACTGCCGTTATTTTTTTTACTTTATCACGAGAATAGTTTTTTTAAATACTTCATTCAATTTAAATAACTAATCCTCCAAATCCAACACTAATTTTAATTTCTCTTTAACCTTTAACATAATCTCTTTATCTACCACTCCAATATAATCAACTAAACGAGTTTCTTTCTCAATATTCCGCAACCGGTTAAATAAGAGTTTGCTATTTTTATCCAGACCATTTTGTTTGGTTTTCTTAACCAGTATTTCATAAGAGCGAATTTTCTCTAATTCTTTACTTGCCAGAGGCACCACGATTATTTCCTCATCAAATTCATTGAATATCATTGCTAACTACCAAAGAAGGACGGATTTTTTTGAGATAACTAGCGATTTCTAATTCTCTTTCTTTACCCTTTTTAACTTTATAATTATAATCTATGAGTAGATTTGGCCACTTTTAGGTTTTTTTTTGCTGCCCTTTAATCTTATCAGATAAAATATTCATATCTATTTTTACTCCTCGATGCCATCTTCAATGCTTCCTTCATAAATTTTATCTTCCTCCCGCATGGCTTTGCTTTTGCCGGTGGACTTATAGTCCGAAATTAATTGCTCCCGTTTTTGCTGCTTTAAATATTCTTTTAATAATTTATTCACCAAGGGGCTAATCTGACCGGTCGGAGTAGTATTTTTTACCTGCTGATAAATGTCGTTCTCGACCGTTAAACTTAAATGCTTCTTCATAATATTACAATTTAAGCTACAGGAGAATGGCTTAACTTACGATGAGTACTTTTTTTGCGTTGTCCTTTTAATATTTAAAGGCGTTTTCTCATCCGACCATTAGATTTACGAGAAGCAATAACACTTTCTTCAGAAGTAATGTTTACCTGACAGGGAATATTTAACTTTTCCACATAAGAAATTAGGCTATCCAAGGCAAAATTTTCAATATGATAATGTAATAATTTATTAGCAGTCAATTCATCTAATTTAAGTAGACGAGCGATATTTTTTTAACTCTAATTGATTTTCCCTTTTATAACGGACAATATTTTGACAAAGTTCATATTTTATTTTCTCTAAAATTGAGACCTCTGGGTTTAAAACTCTACTCCCCAAACATTCCTCACTTTCTAATCAGCGAACAAGTTTTTTCTCCTCTGGGCTAACTAC